GGCGGGTCGCGGCTTCCTTGGCGGCAGCGGCGGCGCGGGGTCCCCGTGAGGCGGCGGCGGGGCCGCGGGAGGCGAAGGCGGCGGCGGCATGGAGCAGCAGCCGCGGCATGCGGGGCAGACGTGGTCGGCCCAGAGTCCCTGGAGGGAGGGGCTGGTGCAGGAGGTGCCGATAAAGTCTATGCAGGTCTGGCCCTTGCACTCCGCGACGGGAAAGACACACGGTAAATCACTCCATGAGGTCGGCACGAGAGGCGGCGGCGGCGGAGGCAGTGGCGGCGGCGGGGGCGGCGGGTGCGGCGGCGGCGAGGGCGGGTGCGGCGGCGGCGGCGGCGGCGAGGGCGAGTGCGGCGGCGGCGGCGAGGGCGGGTGCGACGGGTGCGGCGAGGGCGGGGGCGGCGGCGGTGGCGAGGGCTCGGGAGGCGATGGATTAGGCGAAATCGGGGGCGGCGGAGGCGGTGGCAGCGCAGGCGGTGGCAGCGGAGGAGATGGAGGTGATGGCGGCGAGGGAAATGACGGTGGCGGCGAGGGCGGCGGAAGAGGCGGTGGCGGTGGCGAAAATGGCGGTGGCGATCTCGGGGTTCGAAGGAAGGAAATCCACTGCCCCGGAGTCTTGAGCATGGCAACTCGAGAGCAGCGCAGCTCGTGCACCTGCGAAGCGCGCGAGCGCGACTCACGGCCTGGAAGTGTCGGGCGACAGAGAGGGGCGGGCGCATCGCAAGCAGCGGCGGCAGTAGCGGCGGCGATGGATGGCCGAGGATGCTGGAGGTGGAGAAGGGAAGGGAGGCGGCGATGGGATCGAGGAGGTCCGAGACATATACGCACCAAGACGACGTGCTTGACGACGTGCGTGCTGATGACTGCCATGCACGCCGTTCACACTTCGCCATTTTTGAGACCTCGGGTGGTGCACTCACTCACTCACTCACTGTGACATGCTATCCGGTTACAAGCGGCCCACCCGTGCCCTCACACGCTTGCTCCTCCCGTCCAGCTATCGAGTTCGTCGCCGCCGACGACTTCGACCCCCGCCTCGTGCCCAGGTCGGTACCGGGGGATGCCACGTCTCTCCACGTCTTTGCCGCGTGCTCGGTGCATGCCGCCGCCCTGCCTGCGACGCTCACTCTCCCGCTGTCTCACCTCCTGCTCGTGCGCGCGGCGCAGGACACCCACGAGCTCGACAGCGCCTGCCCCACCCCCGTCGCTTTGCCTCTGGCCGCGTGTGCACCGACGCGAGGAATGAGTCGTACAGCACGGGCGGGTAGAGGGCGACGATGCCGCCGTAGACGGCCAGGCAGTAGGCCACCGCGCGACTGTGCGGCCACGACGCGGCGAGGGCCGACAACGCGAGGAGAAGCGTCGCGATTACGCGATACGCGATGCCGATGAGCTGTGTGGGCAGCACCCAGCGCTGAGCGTACTGGTAGAGAGGGTTCACGGCGAAAACTAAAAGGGTCTGGCCGACGTCGACAAGCGGCAGAAGGTCCATCCCCAGGCTGAGCGCGACCACCTCGAGCAGCGGGCTTGCAATGCCGTACGCCGCGATGACTGCACAGCCGCCGAGCGCCGACAGCCTCAGTGGGCCGACATCAGAGGGCTCGAGGTCGAAGGCGCTGCGCAGGCCCTCCCGGAATGCCCCGTCCGGCCCGAACGCCCGCAGCGACGACCGCAAGCGTTTGGTAGGGGACGCAGCCTTTGAGCGCTCAATCATCCGAGAGAGCTACCCTGGTGGCGAGACACACGGCGGAGGGACGTTCGTTATCTGCTTGGATGTGATTAAATTCTTGACGGCGTAGGTATATTATTTTATCTCCTCCGATAAAGAACGTAGAGAAGAAGTGTAGACGACGGCGGGCGAAAGTGCGACAAAGGGGGACAAGTTGTCTCTTCTTGCATGAATGAAGCCCAGCATCATCCTCTTTCAGCCCGACGAGCTACGCGCCGAATCGCTCGGCTACAGAATGGCCACCCCACCAGCATTACACCGAACCACGACCGCTTCGCGCGGCAGGCAACGCGCTTTGAGCCGGCCCACACGAACCACACCGAGCCATGCCCGACGACGCAGTCTCCTCCTTCATTGGCGCCAAGCGCGACGCTCTCTACGCCTGGGCTGCTGCGCAGCGGGACGCGGCAATCTCTCACGCAAAGGCTTCGGCCGAGGCCACCGCGGCCGGCGCGCGCGAGGCTGCGGCCTCCACTGCGGGCGCGGGCGCAGACTGGGCGGTGGAGGCGACGGCGGCCCCCCGCGCGCGAGCGCTCGGCGCGGCCCGCGAAAAGTACGCCGAGTACACCGCGATGGAGGCGCGCGCGCTCGAGGTCTTGAGCCGCGAGTCGCGACGGCTCGCGACGCAGGTGCTGGAGGCGGGCGAGGCGGCGCAGTCGATCGCCGCTACGAGCGGTGCGGCTGCGGCGGCGCAGGCCGAAGCGTCGCTCGTCGCCGCGGCGCGGCAGGCGTCGGCGCGCGCGGCTGCCGCAAGCGACGCCTACCCCGAGGGCGTCGCGGCGGGTGCTGCGGTGGCCGGTGCGGCGGCGGGCGGATCTCTACTTGCGGCGGCCGGCGCGGCGGCGGCGGCCGGCATCGCAGTCGGCCCTTCTCTCTCGGCCAAGTGGTCGCCCGCCGCGACGCAGCTCGCTGCCACAGCGGCCGACGTCATTCAGCTCGC